AAGGTTAAATTGATTTAATTTGAATTAGTATGTATTATTTATCACCGCTAAAGATGGAGAAGAAGGAAAATACATTTGAAGAAGATGAATTTTATACAGCAGCTGCAAAATATTGGGAACATATTCCACCTACAATAGATGGAATGCTTGGTGGGTTTGGATATATTTCTCATATTGATATAAAGGGTTCTACAAAATTTTTGAAGGCTTTATTTGAAGTATGTATTATCATGATAAATTTTGTATATTAAAAAATAGATTTTGTTTTTATTTTACAAATATTGTATGAATTATATCATAATTTATTTTAGTTAAACAGTCCTCCATCTAAAACATTTGCATTAGATTGTGGTGCAGGGATAGGAAGGATAACTAAGAATTTATTATTAAATCATTTTAAATATGTTGATTTAGTGGAGCAAAATTCAAATTTTCTAGAAGTTGCTAAAACGTGTTTAAAAAATTATTCTACAAGCATTGGCAACTATTATTCCATTGGTAATGTTCCATTGGTTTATTAACCATACAAAAGATATTCAATTAATTAAGTCACATTTCAAGGACTGCAAAATTTTCACTTTACTACCAAGAAGTATGATGTCATTTGGTGTCAATGGGTTTTGGGTCATTTGGAGCAAGATGATTTAGTAACATTTTTTAAAAAGTGTTCGTAAGTATTCTCTTTACTTTTGAAAAACAAATGATGTTATTCAATAAAATCTTTGTAGGTCAGGTTTAAACTCTAATGGTTTAATAGTAATTAAGGAAAATGTAACAAATTCTAAAAATTCAGAAATTGATACAAAGGATTCATCAGTGACACGACCACTTTCTGAATTCTACCATATATTCCAGGAATCTAAGTTAGTTTGCATCAAGGAAGAACAACAACATAAATTTCCACGTGGATTGTATCCAGTTTATATGTTTGCCTTAAAACCTGATAACAAACTTTAATCCACGATAACAAAAATGAAGCATTAAATAAATTATTTAATTATTTGTACATCTCATTAGTTGTATACCTTTTACTATGCTTGTTTTAATTTTATATAAAAATAATTTTAGGAAATTTCCCTTAAAAAAGTAAATTTATTTCGGACGTATTTTCTCATACATAAATCGTTGATTTGCATCTTGAGGAGAAGCATTTATGAGCCGCTTTTTTACAGCATGAAAATGTGTCAAAGCAAAATTGTACAACTCATTCTCCATCTTCCAAACAACTGATTTTTGAATCTTGTCTACAGTCTCAGGTCGTGGATTAATTTTTTGGGTAGTTTGACGCAAATGTGATTTATTATCTGAAATTTGATAAATTATTAACAATTTAAAAAATGGGATATATAGATCTTTTCCATCTTACTGTGTAAAAAAGAATTATAGGCTCCTTTAAAAAAACGTGGAAGTACAATTTGCAAAATTTCTACAAATTCTGTTAATTCTTCTGTTACTCCTACCAGAAGATAATGTTTTTGTAAATTTCTTTTTGCTTCTTCTAATGCCCAACTATTTCCAATTTCCCTGTTAAATAATAACACTTTATTATAGATTATAAGAATATTAATAAGTTATTAAATCTTACCAGCAAGCAGGGTCATGACCACATAAAAATGGTATTTGTAACCACATATTATCAGGATCGCAATCTGGTTGGCCTGCATTGATACACTCGTCAAAAGTCTAAAAATACATATGAATATTGCTAATATAAAAGATATAAATCATAATTATTAAATACAGACCTTAGTGTCTCCATGTTTTTTTCTGATTAAATGTGGTCTAAAATTATCTCCATATCTTAAAAAATAATAATAAGAAACAAATCTATCTAAAGGTTTACGCAAGAGATTTATATATAAAGGCATTTGCCTTACACCAAATCTAAAAATATAAATTTTATTTAAAATATTAAAGAAAATATTTTTTTTTAATAATAGCTACCTTCATTTACTTACTTTTCAAAGTTCAAAAATGCAACATGACCATGATAAAATGCAGGTTTTTTTATATTCCAACTAGTTATATTATTTGCAAACTGAATCTGTAATTTTTGTTCACATATTAAGATAATATCAGTAAATGAAAAGGAATGAGAGGAAATATAATATTACCTGATTGGGAAGTGTAAGAGTGTGCATGTTATTAGAAACATTAATGTGTAAAACATGATATTTGTTGTGTTTACACAGATCATAGACCAAACCTACAAAACTGGTTGATGCAGTTTTTGGTACCCTGTTGTAGATAATGATGAGATCATCAAAAGTTGATTTGTAAGAATGCTCACTAGCTTCAATCCCACTTTGAATATTGTTTTGTTCTTGCATGACGGCATTGTCTGGAAGTACGATAGGATACCTATGTTATTCCATCACCTTTAACAGAATGAAATATTAAAAGGATGAAGCTTTTGCCATTACAAATTAATGAAATTAATTTTCTATTATAACGCATACGCAATAATTTGTAGTGATCCTCCAGGAAATTTAATTTCATTTTTAAGTAAATGATAGTAATTGTGAATATCACTACTAAAATCCATTGTAGTAGGAAGCTTCTATGTATCATTATTTTCCTTATGAAACACTTAAGTTTTTTTGTTCACATAAATCACAAAACTAATCTTCTGGGGCGTTTACATTAATACCACTGTTAATCTAGTTTCAACTTGTAAATATTAGTAAATTATATAGATAGAATTAGATTCGTTTAAACACTTAATAGATGGTATTTATACTGTCAAACAAATCGCCGTTAATTTTTATAAATTTTTAATGTACAAGAAAATTATGAAGTTTAGAAGTGACTTTTAGCTTTAAGTTGTGAAATATATGTATATATAATTGAAATTTTATCTTCGCGAAGATTATTTACACACTTCGATGAAGTTTTCTTAGCTAGACAATTCGATAACCTGAGTTATCGATTAATCGATTATTAACTTTCGACTAGCTCGAATAAGTAATTAAGATATTCTAAAATGTGACAAAACACTTGAAATATGAAAAGTATTTAAATTAAGAGTTACGCATTGGAATTTTATAATATTAGTATAGTTAATTTATAATAATAAGGACAAAATAATGTAGTTGATTTATAATAATAGCGGTATTTTCAATACTTTTAAATGATGCAGGATAATTATTGCATTTAAAGCACTATTAATGTACTGTTTTTATATTTTGACAAACTATTATTAAATGAAAATATTATAAAATGACAAAATCAAAATTAAAAATTTAATTACAATAATCGAAACATTATTTTATTTAATCTTAAATTTAAATTTTTAGTTTAACTATTATATGTTTTACAATTAAATTTCACAAAATTTATATATGAAAACTGTATCTGCTTTTGTTCATAGGATGTCTTTAAATAAAAGGTATCATATAATAAGTGTTCTTAGTATAAATGAGAATTGCATGTGTATGATTCCAATGATTCCAAATTATTATAGCATCCTATTATCAATAATGTTTTCTAACATTTTTACATTTTTACAAAATATTGCAGAATTAGTACATAAAAAAAAAGGAAATTAATTAATCAATTAACAGGATTTGTTGTTCATAATATACTTTACTTCTTACATTTTTTGTAATATAATCAATTAATACAATTAAATAACATTAAATAATTTTAGTCTAATGAATTTAACATCAGAAGTTGTTTCAGTACTTTTGTTTGACTAGTTTCTCTTATTTCACCTGCTAGAAACATTTCATCTACAACTGTATACACCTATAAAAATTTCTTATCATAAAGATGAAATATGGTTATTATAATATATATTCTTTGATGCTATAAATTACCTTAAAAAAATTAAATACTAGGTCCAACTCGCAGACATTATGGAAGTATTCATTTAATACTTCAACAAAATTATGTATTGCTTCTAGATAACATAGATTATTATCATTGACATCAACACATATGCAAAAATATAAACCAGCATATCTTCTATATACAATCTTGAAGTTGCGAAACTAAAATAAAAAATTAGATATTTAATACACATTATTGAAAAAAAAATATGCATAAAACTTACCTCAACAAAGTTAGTGTGCTTAGCATCACGTACAGTCACCACTGCATGAACTTCTTCTATTAGTTTTTGTTTTTCATCATCATCAAAATTCATATACCACTTTGCTAATCTTGTTTTTCCAGCCCTGTTCTGAATTAGGATGAAGCGGATCTATTCATTAAAAAGAAAATCATTTTAGAATTTTTTAAAGTCTATTTTGCGTAACTGATACATAATTTCATAAAAGTATAACCTCTGGTATTATAAAAAAAAAGGAATTGTGTTTTTTTGTTATTATGATAATAAAAACAAATACATTTTATAATTCTTGATAAATTACTTGCCATGATTAATCTGATTTTACACGTTAACTAATACTACAATTGATGCACTTGACAACCAACGATCAACAAGAATACGTGAAATTGAGTGTCATTTGTTGCCGCCCCTAGGTTATCAAAATTACAAATAAAAGCACTCTAAAATCTAGAAACTTAATTAAAGGATCTGTGTATTATAATAACTATTTATTTTTAAAAACTGATAAGAAAGCTTTAATCAAAATCAAATTCATTACAATTTTTTAGAAAATTCATGTGTACGCTTTTATAGTTTTTATAGTCGTTGACGTTTCTGAAATTGGTCTGTGAAAACAAAATGGCTGATGGTGGTAAAATTAAATATGAGAATGATGAGGACTTAAAAGAAAGTGCAGAAGAAAATTTAAGTTGGCAATCGAATTTTGAAAATGAACTATGGGAAGACAGTTTTGAAATGGGTGGAAAACGAGAATTTGATTTAGGGAATATTGAAGAATATTCATTCATAGCTAAGAAATCAAATAATAGTAGTATAACTGAAAATGTTTTAAAATTTTTGTATCCTTAGTAAAAAAAATTGATAATTTTAAAAATTATATCGTATTTATGTATGTCCTTGTAATTTCTTAATGTTTAATAGCTATTCTTATGGATACGATTGTCGAAAGTATTTCAACCTTTGTGTAGTTGATATGAATACTATTGCTTTTGCTGCTGGCAATTTAATTCAGTTTTTTAATGTAGAAGAAAATAGATTTTGGTTTAAAGGAGGCTCTGCGGGTACTGGCATTGGACACATATGTGTAAATATGTATATTTTAAAAACAAACAAATTCATATAAACTTACTTATTCACAAAAACTTTAGAAATATTACATTTCCTTTCTAGAAAAACCCTGCCTTTGAACATATTGCTGTTGGAGCAAATGGAACAGATCCTTTAATAAATATTTATAATTGGCCTATTATGGAAATTGTAGTTATTTTAAAAGGGGGAACAA